CTAAGCGGAGGGAAACCAAAGTACTGGGGATATGCTGTGAAGTGGGTACCAAGTTTGGGTGAACTTTGCAAAGGCATAGCCCTGTTAATAGGACCATAGAGTGAGTAGGTTGTTGACAGGGAAGCACCTTGAGCCTTGCTACTGAGTAACGTACCCCTTATAAAGGGTACAGTCTGGGTTCCTAGCACAAAAAGGAAGACTACATGTCAAGTTAGACGGCACTTGTTGTATAGGAACTTAGGTGCTAACTGCTAAGTAGATACAGAAAATCAGAAAGTTTAAATAGACAATCTCCTAGTAGATTGCAGGTATAGCAACTAGTGTAGAACCTTCAGGCAGACTACTTAAATAGGCAATCAAAAGTTGTACATGTGGCTAGTTGTATACTTGTTAATATGTCTCAATATAGATATACAAAAAACACAATAAAGTGTTAAGCCACCGTGAAAATTTGCCTTTTAAAATTATCAGAATTGATCAACAAAAATGGAATTTATAAATACTGTAGATGAAGTTAGTAACGAGTTATCCAAGGAATTGATGGATTGGACGGTTATAAAACATAGTGAAGGATTTAGTTTAACTCAATATATTGAAGGAGCTGTAGAAATTGGTAAAATCCTTAATCATGCTGTTATCGCAGTATTAACAGGCAATATTGGAGCACTTGTTGAAGATATCGTTTCATACGCTATAGCAGCCAAGCATTGTAAAGCTGAATGTAAACGTCTTAGTGAACAATTTAAAATAGCACGTGATTCAGCAAAGGAATTATTAGATAAATTAGAAGAAACGCCTAAAGAGATAGAAAATAAGAATTTTGTATCTGCATTAAAAGCATTTGCTATCGTTTTAGAAGATGGTCGAGCCGTTGTAAAGCAACATGCTGAAGCAAAATATGGATTAAAAATCTTTTTTGCGAAAAAATTTGCTGCAGAATTTCAAGATATTGAAGATCGATTAGATCAAGCGTGTAATCGACTCAATTTCGCTATTAATATTCGTCATTTTGTTGATAGTCAATACGCTGAAGAAATTCAAAAAGCATGGCATGAGGAAGATAAAATTGCATTCGCAGAATTAAATAATATGGTTAAAGAATCTTTAAAAGAAATTCGTAGTTATAAACTTTTATCAACTCCACCTTTAGATTTAGGTACAAGAATTTCTTTAAAGGAGTTATCTGAAATACAGCAATTTAAAACGGACAGACTTTTCACGGCTAATTATCACACTGTAGATAGCGACGGAGAGAATAAAGTTATAAAAGCTGTCATAAAAGTAACAATGGCTCAAGAAACAGTAGCGGATGATATATCAAAATTTGCACTAGAGATCGCATATTTAAGAAAATTAGTCTCATGCCCAAATATTATTAATCTTATTGGTGTTACTAATATTCGTGGAAATCTGTCATTAGTTTTGGAATATTGTGAAAATGATGATTTACAAGATTTTATTGCATCGGGTAAATTGAAAGGTGATTGGGGAAAGAAACGTAGCATCGCTTTGGGTTTAGCTCAAGGTAAATAATGAAATTTGAATCTTTTCATTATTTTTTATTTTATTTTTTTTTTAAACTTAAATTATTAAAATTGTTGTTTCATATAGGATTGGCGTTTCTTCATAAAGCAGGAATTTTGCATAAATATCTCAATAGTGCGAATGTTCTATTGAATAGTCATTTTCAAGCAAAAATCACAAATTTTCGCAGATCCCGTTGGATCAATACAGGAAGTCTTGGGGTAGTTGATTCATTTGAGGAACAAATTCGTTGGACTGCGCCAGAACGTCTTGGTGATAATGTATCAACTTTTACTGAAGAATGTGATATTTTTTCGTTCGGCATCGTGTTTTATGAAATTATTTGTGAAAAATTCCCATGGGAAGGCTTAAATTTAAGCGATGTTTATAAAGCTAGAAACGAAGGAAAGGAACTTACCCTACCTTCTTATCAGTTTTGAACCGTTTACTCGGTTCTGTGTGAGTACAATTAGTATAAATAGATGACATAGCAG